GTTTGTGAGAGAACTGGAGAGAGGGCAGATTGGCAAGTGTGGCTGAATCAATGTGAAAAAGCTAGTTTTCTCAGCATTTTTTTTGTCATTTGTTAACTCACAAATCTACCCAGGACATAGGTATGGTTGCTTTGTTTTGTGTCAACACAGCACTCATGCATTTTTTTAAAAGTTTGCTCATTATTCAAATAAAGACAACATAAAATATCCTTCTACCTAATCTTATATGACTATTCTATGTATAACCTAAAATATCATCATCTTTTCCCAAGTAGATTATATAAAATATACAACCCTTTCCTCATTAAGGGAGAAAAATATTTGTTTGCATTTTGTGTGAAATATATTCTGTTTCTATAGATTCATACTCCTTCATTTATATCCAGTTATTTAAATACTGAGATGAGATTTTAGATATTATTCACACCTCATGTTTGATGAGAGGATGACAATGAAATAAACACTTAATTTGTGTAATATAAATATACAAATTCTTATCAGCATTAAGAAGAAATGCAAAAGAATGGCAGTTTGTGTTCCTGAGAGTTGTCCCCATGGTCATTACTGATCTTTATAATTATCCTATTTCACTCCACAGTCCATACTGCCTTGGTTCACAGCTCGTCATTGTTTCTGGTCAGGTGAGTTACCCAAACCTTCATCTCTGAAGGATCTTAGCCCTTATCAGTTTAGTTTTCTATTGCTGGCCATCACAGGACCTAGGAGTTCAAAGAGGCTCCGAGAAAATGTGCTATGTCACACTTGCTCTTCTTCTCTGTAGTGGTGTAGTTGCATCTCAGTTTTCCTTCCTAGTCAGATCCATGCCACTGAGTGACCTTCTTCTTCACCTGTTGATTCAGCTAGATTGAGTATCCTAACGTGGCATTAGGGCAATCTCAACTCTCAGAAAATTGAGTCACTTTGTATCTGGGTAGAAGAATCTCTCTGTTTATTGCTAAGAGTTTTCTAAAGCAGCAGAACCGAAAAGTGCAGGAACAAATAATGTTGGTGGGTCATAGACATCAATCTTATAGGAAGAGAACACACTCTCATTTGTATCCATTGAAACTTTGGGGTCTGATCCTATAAATTCTTACTGTAAGGGAAGCAGTACCATAAATTAGATGCAGACGTGGAACATGTATGACACCCTGGAGGACATTTCCCCAGCAATGAGAAGTGTTGCCACCTAGGTGTTGCTTGAGGCAGAGTCTTACAAGGGTATTTCACCATTCTATCTGGTTCTGCATTTCAGGAAGATAGAGTACTTATGTTAAGTATAACAAATCCCATGAACCCAGGCCACATTGCACACTTATTTGCTGTGAATTGAGCTCCTTGTACAGAAGCAATGCTGCATGGAATAAGCTTATGGTAAATAAAGTATTCTGTGAGTCTAGAGATGGTAGTTCTGGCAGCAGCACTTCAGGAGAGGAAGCAAAATCCATACCAAGAGTGAATGTCCAGTCCAGAAAAAAAAGGAGTGTCCCTGTCATTTAAATGTGGTCCATGTCATCAATGTGTTATGGAGTGGTGGCTGATCACCCCAGGGAATGATGTGATGTGGGGAACTCAGGTTAGTCTTTGCTGTTAGCCATGGATATTCTGCAATGGCTTCAGACAGATTGGCCTTGATGAGTGTACATCCATCATGCTGAATTCACGAATAACATTTTTCCCTGATGCCATGTCCAGTTTGTTCATGGATCTATTGAGCAGATGCCAGGACTAAGTGAGGAAACAGGGGCTGATATCCAAACTACTGGTTAACCATTTTTTGGATAAGAAGATCTATGCCGTGGGTGGTAGTAAATAGTATTTCTTTGTTGTTTCCATAAGGATTTTTTCATATATATCATCCAGAATATTTTGAAGTTCCAGGATAATAAAGAGAACACATGTATCAGAGCAATGAATATCTCCCCTAGGTAAAATAAAGAACTTTGGATTTTCTCCTGGAGAAAGGTTAACGTGTTTTCCTTCATGCTGGATATATTGTATTTAGTTACACAGGTATCATTTTTGTATTAGAGGTTACCCTGACTGATGGAGGTGTGCATGTGTGCCAAAAGGGCAGAAGATGGACTGCAGTGACTTTCCGATGTGTGACGTTTTCTAAGATGAACTACATCTCACCAAATTCCCTCTAATCCATCATTTCTGTTTAAAGTGGATCTCAAGAGGAGCTTCCTGGGAGATTAGAGGGCAGAAGGGAAGCAGCCATCCTGTAGTACTAATACGTTGTTGCTGGTCTGCTGGCTCACACCTCACTGGTATGGAGCAGTGACTGGGCCTGCAGTTGTTCTACCTTCCCCAGGATTATCCTTTAGGCTCTTGGAATTCTGGACTACGGGTGTGCATTCAGCTTCTTAGAAATTAGAAATCTGACTTAACTTACTCTTGGGCCTACATAAACATACCATATGGATCTCATCTGGATGTATAACCACAAGTAACTAATAAAAAATAATAACAAATAGCAGATTAGTAGAATACAGGGAAGGGATCAGAAGAAGGGAGGACGAGAGGGAAAGGGAAAGTATGGGAACTGAATTGAGGCCTATTTTATGTTTTTTAATTATGTTAAAAGAAACACTAATATTTTGTAGAATTCAGAAGAGCCAATACAAAAAAAAAAAAAAAAAAAAAAAAAGCCCAGTGCCTAATTCCATAGGAAAGCAGACTGCCACTTTTTGTTTTCTCTTGTGGGCTCACAGCTCATGCTTTGGGATTTTGTCTGTCTCTTGTCTTCCCTGCTTTGTACTATCTTCCCTTTCTACTGCTTGTCCTGTAGACTTTAAGTTTCCACATCGGACTTAAACATGACAGCAGTATACCAACTGTTTAACCAGCTTCCACAAAGAAATTAGGCCAAAGTTTTTAATGCAGCCCTTAAAAATTACATGTGTAAATAGAAACGTCTTAGTGGTTCAGCTGCTCTTGTTAGAACCTGCCTGGTAAAATAGAAAAAATAATCCAACAACCATACAAACACAGACACACATTAACACAAATCACACATGTTATTACACACAAATATGCCTATATTTAGTAAGAAGTATAATAAATTCTGTCCCTTAATAGAGTCTTGGAATTTCAAATGACCATGATTGTGAAGACAAATTTTAGGTTTGTCTTGTTTTGAAAAAAATTGAATTTCATAATTTCAGTTCTGGATACTTACAAATAGAGAAAAATCTCTTCACAAATGTTTTCTTGGATCAAGAGAGCTTATCACCCTGTACACAGGATCCCATATTTCTGGCATCACACTTTGTCTCCACTCCCTGTATCCTCAAGGACTTTGAAGGGACCATGTGGCTGAGGACTCAGACGTCTCTGGCATATTTCATTCTTGAAGGGCTCTTCGATGATTCCCCGACCCATCTTTTCCTTTTCTGCCTGACCATGGTGGTCTACCTTGTTGCACTGAGTGGCAACAACCTCATCATCCTCCTCATCTGTGTGGATCCTGGGCTTCACACTCCCATGTACTTCCTCCTCAGCCAGCTGTCCCTCATGGACCTGATGCACATCTGCACAATCATCCCCAAGATGGCTATGAACTACCTGTCTGGAAGCAAGTCCATCTTCTTCCTGGGATGTGCCACCCAGAACTTCCTCTATTTGTCTCTGAGTGGCACTGAGTGTCTTCTGCTAGCTCTCATGTTCTATGACAGGTAGGTTACCATCTGTCATCCTCTGCATTACACTGTGCTCATGAGCAAGAAGGTGGTACTGATGATGGCCATCACGTCATGGTTGGGGGCATCTCTGAACTCCCTAATTCACACAGTCATCTTGATACATTTTCCCTTTTGTGGATCTTGGAAAATATACCACTTCTACTGTGAGTATCCAGCTGTTGTGAAGTTGGTATGTGGTGATGTCACCATCTATGAGACCACAGTGTATATCTGTAGCATCGTGCTTCTCCTCCTCCCCATCATCCTGGTTTCTACATCCTATGGCTTCATCCTGCACAGTGTCATTGAGATGCATTCAGCTGGGAGTAAGAGAAATGCTTTTGCCACTTGTAGCTCCCACTTCATTGTGGTGTCTCTCTGGTTTGGGGCCTGCATCTTCTCATACATGAGGCCCAGGTGCCAGCACACTCCACTGCAAGACAAAGTTGGTTCTGTGTTCTATAGCATCATTACTTCCACTCTGAATCCTCAGATTTATACTCTCCAGAATAAGCATGTAGCTAAGGCTCTGAGGAGAGTGTTGAGGAGAGGTATTACCAATGACTACACCTGTAGTTGGCCCAAGTATAGAGTGTTATTATGGGTAAACCTCTAAGAATTTTCAAGAATGCAGATCCATGACGTACTTTGACTATCCCCAGAATAAAGTGGTTTATGTATACCTTCACTATTTTAACTCAGTTGCAGGAATTCAAGTAGCATTGGGTATGTGTCTATAATCCTTCAGAGTATTATGGAAACACTTTATAAATCCCATTTAAGGTAGACATATGAAGTTCAGTGATACTCTAAAAATATTAAGATAAATACATAAAGACATTTTCTATCATCATGGCAGCAAAGACTATTTAGGGAGTACAAAATTAGAATGTGTTGATTAATATTAGAAACCTGTGAAGTAAAGCATGTTTTGAAAGAAATAGTTTATGATAAAAAAATTGTACTCAGATTTTTTGAGTTACTGAATCAGTGTTTAAGAATTTATAAGGGCAATATGAAGAGGTGAGGGTGCAGAGGTGGGTGGATAGAATCCCCCAAAAACTAGAGAGACTGAGTCTTTACATATGGCACACAGATGGTCACCTCCTTTCCATCACACAACACATAATACTGTGCACAGACACTGAACAAGCCCAGCAAAGGTCCAGCATCCCTAGTAACTCAAGAGCAGCCTCCACCCATAAATCCATCTTCAATACCAATTTTTATTCACAGAGAACATCAATATGTTTTTTGTTCTGAGATACATCTTCTTTGAAGAACAGAGCAGATAAATTTAGGGAGATTTAGACTCTACTTTCCAGGCTCATCTCTTAACACAACCTTTAGAACAATGGGTTTTTCTGGTTGAAGAAATGGTGTCTTGCTTAATTTCAGAGGAATCTGCAAAAATTACACAAGTATATTTAGATGTGGTAAATGAAACCCGAACAACAGAAAGAATCAGAAAAGGTACATTTCAGACAATAAAGCTATACAAACATATAAAAACTACTTTCAGCCTCATGTGTCTGGGATTCCTTACATTTATTCTTTAAGCTTTGACAGTATTATAGAATGAAAGCATACATGCCTCTGTCCATTCAAAGAAGTATTTTATGAGCATCTATTATCTACCATCGCTGAGATAAAATAATGTTGGCTTGTGTTCTTTTTTAAATTTTAGAAAAACAGGTGATGATGAGCCTGAGTTGTAGAACATTTGCCTAGCATTGTTATGCCCTTGGTTCCCCAGCAACACAAATAAAAAATTATCAGCAAAATAGATGAATTTGAATAATTTAAACTAGATTTTTAATATTATTTCAAACACTTTTTTGTAAAGCTAAATAAAGCAAACTTCATGAATGATTGTTCAGGTTACTTTATGGATGGTTTACATAGGTAACCTTGATCAGGTTTTATAATTTGAATTCTATGATCAGTCCTTCCATTCTAAGAGTCCAGGCATGCCTCTTTATAGAACCCATGAAGTTTAAAGTTAGAAAAGACCTTGAGGGAACAAGATGCTTTCTCCCCCTAAAGTTTCTCTTTCTCTTTGTAGTGCAAAAGGAGAACATTTGAGTCCTACAAAGTTTTGAGTATCCCTTTAGTCTCATTCTCATGGAGGAATTCTTTTGGTGTTTGGGGTACCTCCAACAGAGTAATCTTCTACACCCAAGAGAGAGAAGGGAAGACAATTGTCATGGAGATTGACAAGTTCCAATCTGGGAAATACTAGGAGCTTGAGAAAGTACCTGCCCCATCTCAGATGTACTAGAGACCTACTTTCTCTGAGATTTAAGTTCCTTCCTGCTTAGAGGGTAGCTACCTGACTGCCCTGACTTCTCAAATAAAATGATCACCACTTCTGTCTCCTCTTTTCCCATATGGAACACGAATAAGTGGGAAAAATTGCATAATAAATGATCAGTCCCTAGAAATAAGCCATTTAGAACCTTGCTTTTTGTGACTCAATGAACAGTGTATTCTTCACAGGAGAGATTCCACATAGTTCCATAAATGTAACACATTACTGTTTTTAAATTGAAAATAGTTTACAAATATTTTCTGCATAGAGAGAAACACAAATATTAGATTAAGTTGACATTAGATTAGGAGAGATGGAGGAAGAGAGAGACAGGGACAGAGATAGAGGGAGAGAGAGAGAGAGAGAGAGAGAGAGAGAGAGAGACAGACATATGATGGGAGCAAATAAGAAAGATGGTAAAATCAAAAAATTGACAGCCAAGTATTATAAATCAGTGAAAAGTCTCCTTTTAAATATTTCTTGAATCCATCCATGAACAAGTTTCCCTCTAAGTC